ACATCCTCATCCGTCGTCACTGATATCAAGGCGTCGAGATCTTCATTCGGAAGCTGGTACTTGATGGTCATATTAATTGTACCTGAACACGCAAATATCGCTTCGAATCAAAATTTCAAAAGCCGTTATTCAAATTAAAGGAACAGAAGAATTGGGAACTTGCCGGAGATCTTAGCGAGTTTGGCGAGGAAGTGGGAGAAGGTGGTGGAGCGGTTAACGGCGACAATGCGAGTCTCGCCGCCGACATATCGGAGCTGGTTATCATGTGGTCGGAGTAAGATATTGCCGCCAAAACTGCACATAAATCGAACACGGGCATGGGGATCATGAGACAAGTTGAATTGGTGGTCGGATCTCGGCGACGAGGCAACGGAGTCGGTGGCGTTGGAGTCAAGCTCCGACGGATGGATCGACGCCATTTTCAAGCTCCAGAAGAACAAATTAAACACTCTGCAAGAATAACAGAAGGACGAAGAGAGTTTGATAAAGAATGGCTATTCTAAAAACTTTTTCGGAATTGGATTCTACGCCCACCCCCGAATTTGTTGGTATACTGTCTTCGGAAAATATATCTTCAGATTTACAGACTCGTGAATTGTGATGTTAAAATTACCAAGTGGAGACAATATTCACAGCATAATTCAAATTCATAAAAATCTCAAAACACGGAGAATTTTCTCTCCTTTTTTCACTGCTGCATCGTCCTTGGATCGTGTATGCATCATTCCATCTTTTCCTTTTTAATCTTTTGAATTTAAATTCCACAGACCAAACACCACTTCAAAGTTCCATCTTATCGTAATCAATTATCATTTATTTTAATAATGTATCATTATGCACAACTTCAACCCTAGAACAATACTACTTCCAACTAAAAAAAGGAAACAATAGAACACATCACTCTCTCTTTATTGCAAATTTGGAGAGTAGAAGAGATTTTCTTCCATTTAATATACTTATTATATAATTAAAATACAAGTATACATAATCCGAAATTAATCAAAAAAGCCTAAAACGTATTAATCAAGAGCCATAATTTTCTCACCTGATCCCCAACTAAAACCAATCAAAAGTAAGTTGGTATAAAAAGCTGTTTAATCTAATCGAAATCTTCCAATTTACATCCCTAATCGGTTGCCCTAATTAAAATCCAAATGAAATCACTCATCGCAAACTCTTTCATCATCATCAAGAAATAAAAGCACAGAAAACCGAATTAAAGAAACAAGAAGTAAATAAATAGCGAGTGGAATTACCAAGCTATGGAGGTAGTTGCTCGAAGTTGAATAATGGAGGAGAAAGGAGAGGGTGGTGGAGGTGAGCTGTGTGTTATTTATTTCCATATAGCGTACGTTTCAGGCTTTAAATTTGATAATGCCCCTCGTCTTTTTTCTTCCTTTTTCACCCGAGTGACAAGTCGACTACTTAGAGTGGGTCCCACCGGGGCCCACACCCATCGTCCAATTATAATCTGCGACGTGGGATCCTATCCACCCACTTCTCTGCTATCCTACGCCCTCTCAATTAAACCTTCATATTGCCGCCCCACCAATCATAATTTAGACTTTCAAGGGACATCCTGACCTGGCTCTGGACCCCACCATCCACGTCACTCGATCAGGCCGGCGCATGTTAATTTTCCTGCGACTGCCCGCACACGACATTCTTCCTCCACAAAAATATATTCACGTGTAAATTGTAGTTTGATCTTTAATTCCTCCTCGAAACGATTCGTTTCTGCGCACCACTAATCCCTAATCAGTATAATTAAGTGCCGAATGTGGACTCGTTTCGCTGTTTGTTTTGTTGTCTTTTTTCCTTAATGACATTTTAAAATGTTGTTGAATATTAATGTACATTCAAGTTCAAAAGTCAAATCTACCCTCATCATTATTTTCTTTTAATAATTCACTATATTCCTTTATATTAAGTGGATAATGACGTCAAATAATAATGAATTCATAATGATTAATGATGACATTCACTTTTGATGTGAATTTTATGATATCCAATCAACACAATCCCTTCACCTCCTTTTCCCAATTATATGATTTGTTTTAAATAATCAATAATTGCTGGAGGATTATTTTCTTCTAACCCAACATATTTTAAATCTTAATCAACATCAATGCTGGACAATAAGAGTATTTACTATTCTATTTAAAGTTTAAGATTCAAATCTCCACGCCTTATATTTATTGTACTAAAAAAAGTTGATCAATCATCTTTAATATTAATATTAAAAATACTATATATATGACCTCAATTATGCCTATATATATACACAGGCATGTAGATAAGGAAAGAATAGTATTCTAATGATGATTTTATAAATAGTTCATGAAAATGTAATTATATATTTTAAATTCTAATCTTCCTCATAATATGATTTTTAAAATGGATAAATATGTAATTAGGTTGTGTGTTTTCTAGCAAACTATTTGCTATTTTTCACAAAATAATTCTTAAAACTATTATATTAGACTTGGCATCTCTTATTAAACTATATTCTCCTACATTTTTTTTTGTTTTTATTCATTTAATAATATTTTAAATGTTATTAATTAATTACCTAATTACGCTCCTGTTGTTAAAATCAATTGAAAAATAGACAAATTTAACAATGTTCAAGTAGTAATTTAATATTGTAATAAGACAAATATTCTTAAGTTCAAATCTATATCAAGTATTATTTCCTTTTCATATCATGTTAAAAGCCCACAACCTATCAATCGAAATCAATATCCAACCTCACACATTCAACGAGCAGAAATTTTTTAAAAATTAAAATTATCACAACCACAAGTATTTTGTTTTCTCGATATCCCAATTGGGTGCGTATAAACCTACATCATAGGGTTATCAATGGAAGGATATGAAGTTGATTATTATAGAATTTGAACATTCTTTCGGACCCTTTGCTTTTTAATACTAATAAATCAATCCATGATAGTCAACAACAATTCTTTTTTCAAATATCATATCACACGAATACGAGTGGAAATTCAAATTCACAACTTTAGTCAGTGGGCTATGTTCATGCCTTTGGGATACATGGAGAAAGTTGAAGTTAGATTACCAAACACAAGTTACAAGAATGAGGATGGACAACGACTCCCCACCAATGAAAGCGCCATTTTCAAGAAAACCAACTTACCAAGAGGATACAAAGGAGATAAGAGTAGTAGGCATGTTTTTTCAATTAGTTCTCTGCTTCCCAATGGGTTGTGGATTTGTTTGGTTTGTTTATTGATAACAGAAAAAGACCTTCTGTACGCTAGTATTTGCACTCTTTCTCTGCCTTCCGAATCTTCATTCTTTGACAATATGCTTTTTATAACCCAAACAAAACCATTGCTTCACAAACTGCCATTGCAGTCCAGCCAAACGGGGGCCCCCCTCAAATTGGAATTGGCCAAAGTGATTCCAAAAAAGTGGATTGCTTTTCTCCTCCTTTTTTTTCCGCGTCGTCGTCATCCTGAAACGACACCGTTGAATGTTGATGGAAAGCTCTGTAAAGTGGAAGTCTACGCAATCATTTTCCAAAAAGGGGCAGGCCCATCAAGCCCGCTCGTTTGTTAGGAGTTTGAAGGCTCGCGCGTGTGAAATGTCAATCACTATTCTAATTTGTAAATAGAAATCAGAACTGGTGTGGAACTCAGGCCAAATGCTCTCTGATTCTTAAGTAATTAGTATGCTGAATAGGTTGAGACTCCATGCTGGAAATAGGAGTCCTGACATTTTGATGCTTGCACCAATCCTTTCTGGTGTGAGATCCAAACAAGAGAAAGTACTATGACAGTAGAATCAAACATCGACTGAATGTGTTAGGCGTGTCTCTCATTGAGAGGTGTTCTTTCATTGGGGCCTAACCGTGTTGGGATTATAGAGCCAAAACAGGAAACCCATGTCCTATGAAGAAAAAGATTTTTCAACACTATTACCAATTCCTATCGAGAGTAGGATGTTGTTGTCTAAGGATCACAATATTGTTTTCCTATAAGAATTATGATATTTGGCCTCTTATAAATAGAATCTTAGGTTTCATTTATACAGAATCCAAATAAAAGAGACTTGAGTGGTTGTGGATAATGTTGAAAAGGATTCTGTATCCAGTGGGTTTAGTGAGTGTTTTTTATTCATGTACCTAAGTATAGTGTGTTATAATAGTTAGAAGCTAGAGGGCTTTTGTTGGGACCTCTAGGAGATATTTTTATATTTTTTGGGAGAGTTTTGTATTCTAATCCTTAAACAATTAATAGTGAATTACCCACATCTGAGTGGAAGACTGGACGTAGCCCTTAGTTGTTTCCTTCCTATTTTCATATATTTTGGTTGTGTCTGGATATTTCTGTAGGAGGGGAATTATTCAGGGTCTTTAATTTCCCAACAAACCGAACTCCCTCCCTATAGCTAGGAAGTTGGAGTCTAGACACGTATGTCCAATCAGAAGAGGCCACGTATCGGGTGGGAATTACCCCATAACATGTGTAGCTTTTTAGACCAAAAAAGTTGGAATTAGAATTTATGGGAATTAAGATTATGTAGGACATTATTTCGAGAAGCAGCGGCACACGCGCAAGATCATGGCCGTTGATTTTACATCAGAAAAGAAGCGCCACGCTCCTCCGGTGAATGGACACTACGGTCATGGAATGCGCTTCGGTTGCATGGCAGGTGCTTTTCGTGCGTTGACTTAAGCCTAAGCCGCCCTCGCCCTTCTATTACATCGTCTTATAATTAATTAATTAAATACATAATTGTGGTCTCATTTATTTACATATAATGCAACTGCACCATTTCTTGTAACTCCTTTTGTTACCTATTGTATCCATTTTCCATCTGTCTTTTGTTCCGATGGGATTAAGACGAGAATTGTTTTTATTTGCATGTATATTTAGTGAAATTGAATCGAATAATATGATTGTATAGATAAGCTCCCCTTATCATACCTATCTATGGGGTATAAAATTAGATTGGATATGTTGAGGTCTCGATTACTGAGATATTGAGTATGGAGTATTGCTTAAACTGTATTTATATCTCATATTTAGAGAGAGCGTAAGCCTAGAATTCGTGGCAATGTCTTTCATCAAACTTCGATTATTTTACCTATTGTTTGAAGTGGCGTTGATGTTCGTGCTCCAATTTGGGAGATATTGTTTTATTTGGATCTTGAACTTTGATGTTGTCTTTTCGGAATTTATTTTCTTAACTTGTTTATTTTATTTTATGTGGGTTCTATTTTCATGCTCGTGTTATGGTTTTGTTTTTCGTTATCATGTTCCTTTCTGTTTTTTTTTTTAAACCTTGTTTTCAGTGAGATTCATATTAAGAGAGAAAAGAACTACTCCAAGATTACTAAGTTTGTGCAATATTGTGTTATTTACTTTTTCAAAAACACTTTCAAAATCTAAGTCAAAAGTTCAAAAATAAAAACAAATTTTAAAAACTATTTCTTTTTAGCTTTTAAAAAGGTGGCATAGACTTTTAAAATACTTTTAGAAAATAGATAACAAAATAAAAATTTTCATAAATTGGATGAAAATAGTGTTAGCAAATTTAATTTTTGTAAACAAAAACAAAATAATTATTCCAACGGAAAGGTTTTTAGTTTAAAAAACTAGCCATATACTGAATTTAGATTTATTGATAGAATTTTGAGGAGAGAATGAGATAGTTGTAAACGTTACTCCAAGATTTTTTTAATATATATATATTTCGAATAAGTCTAATTTATTGCTAGTTGTAGTGTATTCATTATCTTTTTGAGTTAATTGGATGCCTACAATTTAATTCTCATCATTATTGCAACTTTATTTCGTTTTTATTATTATTTTTTTTCTTGAGAAAAATTGCAACTTTACTTTTTGATATCAGTATAAAGTACTTGTTATTTTGAAGCACAATATTTGTTAATTGTTTGGTTAGGTTAATTGCTAAATATTATATTAAATTACAAATAAAAAGTAGGGACTCGAATCTACTGTTTGATTCTTTTTTTTTTTTCACGAATCTTTTTCATTCTCTCTTTTGAATAATTTTGAATCCTCTAGGCTCTACCTCCGTTGAATTGGAAAAAATATATATACATATATATTAAATTGGTCAAAACAATTTGAATCTAATAAATTAATTATAAAAATGAAAAATAGAATAATATTTAAATAGAGCCTCAATTTTTAAAATCTCACAAAACAAAGAAAAATTTTGAATAAATAAGTTTTTTTACTAAAAAAGGGTGGGTTATCAAATCCGCCTTTAATTCTCTTTTCTTAAACTAACAAATTACAACTAATAATTATCTGTTACTTTTCTTAAAGAAAAATAGAAAAAACTAGACAGTAAAGGTGACTACTATATCCCCTTTAAATATATTTGAGACCGATTTTGAAATGATTAAAATCTTTTTTTTAATTACTTTCCATTTTATTGATATCTTTATCAGATTAAAAAATTAATTTTAAAAAAATTTAAAACCACCTTAAATTATTTTACCGAAGAAAAAAATTAATTATATAGATTTGTTTCTTTCAAAATCATCGTTGTACCGTCACTTTCAAAAACATCTTATATATTTGATCCCTGCGATCAAAGAAATACACGGAAATGGAAATCTGAAAATCGGACGGCGCTGGCTCGGCTCCCCTTGTTTTCGACTTTCCCTCCTTTCTTGGGTTGGTGCTCGACGAAAAGTTGAAAACAAGGAATTTAGTGCTTCTCCAAACTCTATAATTCTTTGTTTTACTTTTCGCCAGTTCTTCGTCGCGCTCGCACATGTCAATATCAGTGATTAGTCGCAAAAATCTTTCCTAGTTTTCATATTCTGCGTCAAACCCAATAAACTATTCTTTTTCCGCCTTATTTTCCCCTCTTTTTTGAATCCCACCTCTTCACTCTCTTCTTCCTCGCGTTCAGACTCCCAAGTTTGGATTCTTCCGCCCACCAAGGTCTGTGTCGACTCTCGAGGTTTCTCACTCTGTTTACTATACTCTCATTTATTTCCCACGTTTGTTAATATCTAATGCCGCTTTGATTATAATTTAATATCATGTAGCATCTGCTTTTGTCTATGATTTACTGTATTTTAATCAAATTAGTACTTGATTAATGGGGTCGCGACTCGTGAGTGACTCGATTTATATCTGATTCCTGAATAGTTCTCGACATTGTAGGACCTCTCTGGTTTGTATACTTTCCTTATTTGCCATTGAAAGCCCAGATTATCTCAAGAATTTAGAAACCAACCAAGTTTTAGAATACCCCTTCTGATAGTTTTTTCTGCTATTTCTTCAAAATCTAGAATCGTGGTGGGATTCCTTCTTTGCTTTACTGACTGGTCTCATTTGTAATAAGGGGATTGTCAATCGTGAGAAAATTGTTTCAAGGTATGGAGATCACCAACCCCGTTAATTATTTTCCTGCTAAAATTGCTTGTGCACAAAATTTTCCAGGATTCTCTCTACAGCTCATCTTTCCTGTAATCCAACCTGTGTATTTATTGCTCCTTCGCATTCGCTCTGCTTCTGAATGATCTTTCCAAATATATATACATCAATCCCTTTTGTCTTTCTCTTGTAATTTTCTCACTGTGCTATCATCAATGTTCTTTTTTTCAGCTTTTTAACTTTTGAATATTGTTTGGGAATAGGGATC